TTTTCAAAACATTGTCTAAATTCATCTTTTGAGATGCTTGACAGCGCCTCCGTCGCTTTTTTCCCTTCACCTCAGCAACATCAGCAAAACGCTGAAAAAAAGTTTTGATCATTTCGGGACTCTTCTTTCAAAGCACAGCATGCTTCCACGCGACCTTGTTTTTGTTCAGCAGTCAGCAGTCGTGGCACGAATTTCGCAGCCTCCCTTTTCATTCCCAAATCTTCTGTCAAAATTCGCTGAACTGAGCTCCAAGTCACTCCCGACAGCTCCACAATTTCTTCAATGTTCCGTCGTCGATCTTCCTCGATGATTTCACGAATTTTGTCACTATAAACTCTGCCGAAAGTAGTCCTTACCTTCTGAAGCAACGGTAGTCGGCTTATCGACTCAGGAATGTTAGCTCTGTGCGCTCATAGCTGCAAAACGCGGTACTACAAAAGCTCTGCCCACAAAAAAAAATAGTTCGGTTTCTTTTGGGTACCCCATCGTATATAGGCTGAAATTAAACTACAATATTCGATTTCACTATGAACGCACAGAAAATAGTTCCCACTTTTTATCTCGGCCACGATGCAACTGTCTGTTCATGACCCTAGAGATGACAATAATCTCTTGCAGCTATAACGGAAGATCTTAGCACTGAAGAAGGGACCCCTATAGCTTTCTCTTGAATAGGCAATTTTTCATTCTTCTGTCCTTTAGTCAAAAGATTCGAAAATCCGAAGAGTGTAAGCAGTGCTAGCAGAAGACCAAATGATTTTATTGCTTCCATCCGTTTTATGACTTCAGGGACTGCTAAAATGTGTCAAATGTTACAAACAGAAATTAATTTATAATGCAGAAGATCTCTGTGATGAATTGCGAAATCATTTTTGCAGTACGTATCAAAATTAAAAATAAAAAATGAAAGTAGAGTAAAACTCTTTGTATGAATTCTTTCAAAGCTTCCGTTGTAATATGCGACACTACGTTCTCTGCTGATACAAACAAAGTTAATTCCATCCATTTATCATAATTGAGTTAGATACAGCATTTTAAAACACAATGCTTAAACTTGTTAAAGCGCCCATATATATATATATATATACCGACGTCTCTGTGCGAAGTGAAACAGGGCAACTGTTTTATATTTCCAAATTCTCTTCTTATGAAAAGAATTAACGTCGTCAATAATCATTATAACTTACAATTATTTAAACATTGTATCTGAATTGAGCCCGGAGGGTTTGGGGGAGCGAGATAACCGAGCTTGTGCCTCTGAACAACTATAATATCACATGCCTCCTCGGCATCAGCAATCAAGTTTGTTGTTTGAGTACGCGTACATTTTGCACTGGCTTCTTCTGGTTGTGGTAGATTCTCCCTGATTTCTCGTATCGCAGCTTCGAAGTGTTCAATTGCTTTGCTTAGAGTTGCCACATAAGTTGCTACTTTTTGGATTGTATTGTACAAAATATTTACATGATAAAATACAGAATTAAAGGACAGGAAGAAACTGAACTCCTGATCCCTTAGTAGATGAGAAAGTCCTGCTGCTTCTCGAACTGAAATATCATCCTAGCTAGAATCTTCTTTAATAAGGTCAAAACACTCAAAAAGGGCCTCCTTATTATCGTAAACATTGCTTACAACTTGGCTGTGAGAGTTCCATCTAGTTTCGACACACTTAGGGTCACTGCAGCCACACACATTTCTCAACAAATCAGAACCGGAAAAGAAGGAACTGAACCCTGAAAGATTAGTTAAAAACAACCTGATTGTCCTTACTGTGAAACATGCTTGCTTTACAACTAAATTAAGCTGATGGGCGTAGCAGTGTATGAAGTGGGTGTAAAGGGAAAACTTCCTTCTAACACATGCCTATTCTTATCTACTAACTTACTGTGGCATTCAATTAAAGTATAATATCCCTCATTTAACTGAGCAAGTACGTTGACAGAACCTAGTAATTTAAAATTTAACTTCACTGTCAATGTGCAAAGCAGACTCTTCATGTTTTTTTACTCGTTCAGAAAGATGCTTCAAATCTTTAATACCTGATAATGTCCAGCTCTTATCCCCATCAAATAGAACACACACGAAACAAAAGAATGATTCTTTCTCTTCACTTACACTTAACCAGCTTTTCTTATCAAACCACGAAGATAAGAATGATCTTTTCTGGTCCTTTCCATTTTGTTCTAGTTTAAAATCTTTTGGCTGATGAGCACCAAGTTTCTTCATGTGCAACTTTCCTTCTAAATTCAACGAAGAAAACGGTGTCTTTAAAAGTGCGCCAACTTTATTTATTTTTAATTTGATTTGTTTCATCCTGGTCTGTCACACTAGCAATATTATAAAAGGTTATCAACGCCATGCATTGTGATTGATAAATGTTTTTTCTCTTTTTAATCTTTCATCCTTGACATGTTTCGGTCTGAGAGACCATCTTCAGAAGGATATATGAATACATGCGGAAACTACTAAAACTTACAATGTGACTGGTCAATATCTATTTCAATTCATGACACTGTAATATGTATTGTATGGATATATGGTTTCTTATGTGATCTACTATCATAGTCTCCATTTTATATATATAAATTCACTGGATGAATATGGTTTTTATGTGATCTACTATCATAGTCTCCACTTTATATATATACACATCATATAAAAACCATATTCATCCAGTGAATTTATATATACTAATTGTAATACTGTATAGAATTATCCAGGTCATTGGACATATAGTTTAATAAGAAATATGTGTGTGTGTGTATATATATATTGTGACATGTTGCGCAAAGGAGAACCCCCCCCACCAGCAGTGACGCGGCGGGTGAGTCAGCGCTCCCCTCCCCCTCCTCCACACGGTAACGTAACGGTGACGCAACAGGATTGTTACGGTAGTAACAGCGGTTACTACCGCTAGCGTTGCTAGCAACACAGCGCCAGGCAACAAGGGTGCTTATTACGTGGCCGTTTTCAGTATTGTCCAATCGAGGCTACATGAGGAGCAGCGAAGGCTATTCACAGTCAGTTGTACTGTGACAGTCGCCGAGTTTGTTATCAACAGTTCTCAAGGCAGCAGCCCGCGAGTGTGCAATAACTAAGAAGTCAGCGAGCGGAAGACTTATTGTGTGCTTTCAAGACATAGTGAGTGCTGTAGTACAGTTATAATTGGAGTGTGTAATTCAGGGAGGCTGGTATAGCTCCCGCGTTATTAGTACGTGAATACAAGTGAAGATCGTGTTAAGAGACTTTGTTGTAGGGTTTGTAAAGTGTGGAAACCCCGTAACTGTATGATAAGTAATTGTAGCCGTTTCTTGTAGATTGTTGAATAAACCAATTAACGATCTCTACGGCGTATTCTGTAGCGAAACACGTTACAATATATATATGAATTTTGAACTCAGGTATATTTCTTGTTAAGTTTTATGTCCAGTGACCTGGATAAAACTGTACAGTCCACAAGTACTTTTTGTTAATGTAGCACACCTGTAGCACGTAACAATAGCTGGGTACGAAGACTGTTATCTGAGTAAGAAGGAATAGTTTCATGTCATAGGTGCATGTTCCAATCTCCTTTACCTCCTCCTGTATTTCAAACAACAATAATAATATCCTTTACGTTCTTTTAATTGGCAGAATAAGCACAATGTAACTTCCCACAAAGAATTCACATTCTACTAATTTAACCACATTACCTTTGAAAAAATAAAGTATATAAATTTACATGCTTTTGGAAGTCTTTCATTTAAGATAACTTAAGTGTTGTAGATCTTCTGCTATTGTATTTGGTAATATTTCTTAACTTAAGATGAATTACACAAAAATGTATCCACCCATTCTACATTGGTAGGCATAAATAAAATACTTCTTACTTTTAAGAAATCACAGCTACATGAAACTAAAAATTTATATTCAAGCTTTGTTATATGTCAAGCTTCCTGATATACTTGTAGAATACAAGTGGATTTTTTTAATTCAACTGTAATTTTGAAAGGCAGATACAACAGTGTTGTCTGGAAGTTATAAATGGAAAATGTGAAGAACAAATGTGCTATGCAACAGGGCTTCCTAGTAGCAGGTAACATATTTCAAGTTGGATAATGACCCACCAATTTTCTTCAAAGTTGGCACAAACTGTAGTTTCCAGTTACTTTCCTTCAACTTGCACCATGTGTGTGATTAAATAAAATAATTAAAAATAATGATTCTTTACAATAAAAAAGCTCTGCTTTGTAAGCAAAGGTATGTTTTCTAAAAATTAAAATAAAATAGTATTGGAAAGCAAAAATGTAATAATAGGGACAAAACTATTCTTCCATCCCTTTCAGGGCTTTAAAAAGGAAACTTAATGATATCTTTGTACAATCGACATGATTTTTTTTTGGCTTTCTCTACATTAATAACAACAATATGTCGTCATGTCTCCTCTCATCTTCCATTATCGGCGATTGTATACTTGTATATGTATAATATGATGATAAGAGTGCAGACTAGGTTTATTCTTGTTTTTGTGTTTATTGGTTTGTTTATTCTGCACGTTTGTGTTGCATTTTATAATATGGCACATTTCGAAAATGCTTACTCACTTCATTTTCAAAATCATTTAAGAATACTAGGCGACCTTCTTTTGCATATCTGAAATCAATTACACAAAATATACGACTTGGAATGCATCTACGTGTGAAAAGTAGGACCACCAACACATGGATACCACAATTTCTTTTTTTCCCACAATCTGCAACAATGTGTATTCTATGCATGAACACAGAGAATACTCATTCTTACAACAGGAAATTAAAATGATGTGGGTTAGAATTAATGCACTAAATCATGAGTTAAAAAGCATTGGATAATACAGTTAGTAATGCTGGCTGCCAAAAATATATTTTGTAGAAAAGAATACTATCTCTTAAAATAGCACACAAAAGTGTGACAAAGGATATGAATATAAATAAATGTCAAAAAAGTCTCAATTTTCCTTTTCCTAATAATATAATACTAGAAAATTATATTAGTATTCCTCATGTGATAAAAGACTTTAAGGCACTAAAATCTGTGAATCAACAGTATTTTCTTTTGAATAACAACAGCTTGTGTTGGAAAATACGAATACTATGACAATTTAGAATAAAATATGCTATAAAACATTTTGTACTATAAAATTTACTCTCAGAAGTTTTAAATGCTACATTAATTTATACTCTCCTACTTATTTTTTTGGAAGGTTGGCCAGCATTTTTTAAAATTTCCCATCACACTGTAAATTTATTCAACAACAAAATTTTGAACCCATGTAGTCTGGGTGTTCTCATATCTGTTGTTTACTAACACATTCACCATGGCATCCATTTACAAAGTCATGCCTCATCATTTATGAGCAAAGAAAAACAAATTAAAAGAATGACTAACATTCAAGGTGGAGAAGTACAGTATTGTGTATATCTTAATGTCACTCCATCCAAATGAACCTCAACTATGCGAGGTCAGAACGTTGCATTCATCAACAGAAGCACTACATTGGAAGAAGGAAAGAAAACAACCAGCAATATTTTAAGGCACGACAGCTACTACTCAAAAGTCTATCCCACTATATACGGTCTCCTGGTGTCACAAACATACTGAATCGTTCTTCCTAAAGGCACAATTAATAACATTATTATTATTATAATTATTATTTGTATATATAAACACAAAATACTTCAACTAATCCTAATTGTAAGGCATATATCATTATTTTGTGTAATATTTACTAATAATACTACAGAAATTAAAGAGAACTTGCTCTTTTGTCTTTGAAAACAGATTAATTCTGTTTTTGATCCCTACTCAATGATTTATCAACTATACTGAACATTTATCGAGCAATGTAGCTCATTCAGATCTTTCTCCTTGTTTACATTTTTAAATATAATATCACACTATTTAATATTGTTACCCAGATTGCTTCAATGTTATGGATAACTGACTGGGTAATTTTACAAACTTACACATCTTGTTCATTCTCTCTCTATCCATTATTTATTTACGAAGAGCAGACGTGCTCTCCAAGTTCTTTGCTCCTGATGCACAGAAGTGAATAACTTCTATTTAGCTGCTCATGTTACAATCTATCCTTTTCTGTATGAGTCCTTCTAAACAGCACTCGGTTACTGCAGCTATGTAACTTGCCAAACAAAATGAGGTTCTTTCATTTTGATAAATAAATGTTTTTCACTAACTTTCCCACACTTGAAAAAAAAAGTCATATTTACTTGTGTATATTATTACCCTTGCATATACTGCAGGCCACAACCCTACCTCAGAGAGGAACAATTGTCATTTTCATTTTCTGAGAAAGACTATGTTTAAAGTTATGGTCACAGAAATGAGCTGTCAGATAAATGCTCTGAAAAATAGTGTGTCACATAGCCCATTGCATTCCATCTGAGATTATACTAGGCTGTGTACAGATTGCACACTGTGTTCACATGAAAATACTGAAGCATTAGGCTTATATGCAGGTAAATATGGTAATCAAAATCCTTTGATCCTCCAATAATGTACATTATACATTTCAGGTAAACATTTTTCATGAACATGCCTGCACATGGAAAGTAGTGAATTTAAACAGCATCAAAATTATTTAATTTTCGGTGCCTGAAATAACACTTTCACACAAATGTACCCTTACTTGAAAAGTTTAAATGGCATCAAAATTCCTTTCAGCTTTTAATGCTGTACATTATACATCTGACTTGACAAAGACACTTAACTTTCTGCAGAAAAACAAAACTGGTAAATCTGTCTACATTCTTTGGAATTCTGCAAAATGTACTGCTAACAATTATATAATCTAGAGGTGATTAGGATATCTCTAACTAAATGAAGTATGGTAATTTTAATAATAAAGAATACCATTTTATATATGGAATTTTGTATATGTTACTGACTCCATGTCAAACCTGCGTAAGTAATTTGGTTTGTAACATACTTCACTGGCAGCATTACATAGCATCGGAGTTACCTGATAAAATCTGATGGCTTGTACACAGAGACATCTATGCAAAATGTGCATAAACAAATTAATATGGAATCTTTACTTAGATTATCATATTCAATGTTAAAACTCCACTTGTAATACAAGCTGCTAACTGAGTTTTCTTCAATCATCTGTGCATATATCTAGTACTTTTAGTACTTTTGTTTGTCAGTTATTAGCAAGTATTAATTTTACTTCTATTTACAATGACTATGTAAGATGCATTTTCAGTAAAGCACTTAATTTAATCTCAGATCTGTGGAAATAACTGTGCTTCACACACCACCTTAACATACACATCTGTGTACACAGTGTAATCAGAATCTGAATGTGACAGCTGCTACAGTGTACAACAGAATAATACCATCTATCAAGTGTTCCTTGTGATCACATCAAAAATCTTTACATTAAACACATTTCTAAAGCAAGGATTTCATTTGTTAGTTGTTATCCATTACACTGCTGTGCCTGTGTGCTTACACATAACACAAATCAAACCTTTTTAATAATCACAAATGCTTGTTCATAAAGTGGATCTGTGTAAATGGATACGTAGTTCTCTTACTACAGAGGATTCTAAAAACTTTATATTCTTTCATGCCCAAGTTTTGCAGTGAACACACATCCACTCTGAACAGAATAACACATTCAGTGATTAATGTTAGCATGTAATGCAATGTAATGTAATGTAATGTAGTAATTCAGTCCTGGAGACTGAAAACACTCATTACTGACATAATGTGACAATTCTGAATGGACAAAAGTTGAAGTGGAGACAATTCTGTTCTACCCAATCCCATTGTAAATATCTGTTCATAGACAAAATGCTACACAACACCAACAGTTTATGAAGGCCTAACTGTGATATTTCAGTGTAATGACACTAGACATTGTTTCTATTATACCTGAGATAATGCATGGCTTGACACACTTCACTCCATATGCCGGTACTTATGTGCAGACATCTGAGACAGTCCAAGTAACGCGTACTGACAGCTCAAACAATGGTAATGCGTCTGCTTACCAGAATGAGCACAAGACTCCATGTTGCAAGGCTGAAATGGTGTGAACTTCTCAAACCCGGCAGCCATAATGGAATCAAGTTTCTGATGTTGGCGTCGATGAGCTACAACTTTGTTGGTATCAGTGCACACAAACTCACACTTTAAACAGTGGAAGTGTGAAGATTTATTCTGCATGGCCCCTACAGAGCAGAGTAAATAATATTTAATTTTCTCACCCAAATTTTACCTTTATCACAGCTCACCAGTGAACTTTACTGCAGCCACATTCTGCATGAAATTGCACATGCCAACAACACCAACCTCTCAATTTGTTGTGAGTAAATAATATCTTTACCAACAATTACTATTTGTAGAAAGTGTTAATGAGAAAGTTAATTAAACAAAGTATATACAAACAATGATCACAATAGTAAATAATAATTACTTTAGTAACACCAATAAATAACGTGTGGAGAAATAACACCATTAAAATATAACTTATCACAAGAACATAAATCCTGTGTAGTGAACACGCTTTCTTCATCTTGTTTACACATTCATTAGATATACCTCCATCAGCAGGAATGTTATGAGAGCAACTCACTGACACTTCTATATACCAACAGAACCTTCACTTTTAATTTAGAGAAAAAGACAAAATAAGTTCACATATATTATGAATTCCATTACAGGATTCTGTGAGTAATTAAACATAATAACTTTCTCTCATGTTATTGATAACTCCCATGAATATATGTACATACCTGCAATATGGAGAGGAAACTGGGATTGTTTTCATATTGCATCTTTTATTTGTAACCGGCAAAGGATTAAAAAATAAAATACTTCCACAAGTATCACAAGTTGATGCTTACCTAGCGTGGCAGTATATACGCATTCTGGTCGACCACATGACACAGTGCCCCGAAATTGCTGAAAATCTCCACCCATTAGTGTATCAAGCCTCTCATGGCGCGCAGTGTGCTGGACAAAACGTGTCTTGTCACAGAAACTATATCCACAATCTGAGCGCATGCAATGGAAGTGTGTCTGGTGTTCCCGGTAACCACAATGTGGGTATTTGCAGTCCTCATTAAACCTACATCATCAGTACACAAATTGAAAATTAGTAAACAAACTAAACACAACAGATTCACAGTTGGGCCTTGAAAGGTGACTGTGAGTATGAGTATGCAACTTAACTTAATCATTAATACAAAGGTTATTTGGAACTGGTGAGCTGTTAACAAAACAATAATAAAAAATGTTTATTACATACAAAAAAAAATATGTACATACTTAAGCTACTTCTCAACGTAGTCACCACCAGAACAGAGGCACTTGTCATATCAGGGAATGCATTTTTGTATGCCTGTGTCAAAGCAAGTCAGTCATGTTTTGATGCCTTCCATCAACTCCTCATTATTGTTAAAGCACTGTGATCCCAACCAGTTCTTCAGGTATTTATCATTATCATTATTATTATTATTATTATTATTATTATTATTATTATTAGAGGGGGTGGGTTTCCCCATGCACTTAGACCAGTTATTGGTCCATTGTGTGGCCCCCTTTCATTTCTACTGTCGCCATACCCTACCGATACTGGTGCGTGCTATCAGCCCCGTTCAGCTGACGAGGTTCGCCGTCGGTACCTGATATTTCCCCCATCTATCAGAGGCACTGGAAACTACTTGGGTGGGAAATTGTTGCCTAATAATTTTGCTCAGAGGTATCCTAGAGACATGAGGATCTTTTACGTGCCGTAAATCTATGACACGGGACCCACAGCTTAAAGTCCCTCCCAGAGGACTTGTTCTCTGAATTTTTCCGCCCTTAAAAATTCCACGACCTCTGCCGGGTTTGAACCCGCGTACCTTGAGTCATGAGGTGGGAACGTTACCCCTAGACTATGGAGGCCGCTACTTCTTCAGGTAGGTAAACAAGTGGCAGTTTGAGCATTCTATACCAGTGTCTTACAGTTCTTTTGCTAATTACATTTTGGCTGTAAACCACGCATAATTCACAATGGATTTCCGCAGTATTCATGTTTTTAGCATTAAGAAAGCGGATAATAGTTGCAGTTGGCAGTATTATCAATCGCAGGACATAACATAACTCTGTAGAGAGAACAACAAATACTGAGTGACTAGTTACATGATGGTTTACAATGTAATGAGTCATGTGATGCTACTTCACATGCATGAGCTCTCTCTGCTCCTACAGTAGTTGCCTAAAATAAATGGAGATCACTTTCCACACAACCCTCATACTAACATATACGAGGGTCGTACTGAAAGTCATGAGCAACAATATTTTGTAAAGTAACATGCTTTATTATTGACAAACCAAATACATCACCTCAATCTACAGACCTTTCTTTATTTTTCCACATAATCACCGCTTCTTTGTACACATTTCACCCAGCGTTCTCGGAGTTTGAAAATTCCCCTTCTGTAAAATTCCGTTCCAGCCATCCAAAGACACTGACACACTGCTTTCTGAATTGCCTCCCTTGTCTCAAAACGTTGTCCACGAAGCTGATCCTTCACAAATCCAAAAAAGATGGTAGTCTGAGGGTGCCAGATCAGGGCTATAGGAGGGGTGTGGAAGAACTTCCCACCCCATCTTTGCAATTGCTTTCAATGTGAGGCGAGCTGCGTGGGGGCGAGCATTGTCATGCACGACGATGATGTTTCGTCCCGGACGTTTATCGCACAATGCACGTCGGAGCTTGTGCAACGTCTGGACATAACGAGCAGCATTGATGGTTTGCCCAGGTTCCAGGAATTCGGCCAGAATAAACCCCTCTGCATCTCAGAAGACTGTGCCCATCACCTTCGCAGCTGATGGCACTGTCTTTTGTCTTCTTTTTTTATGGAGAATGCAAATGGTGCCATTCAATACTCTGCTGTTTCATTTCAGGCTTGAAATGGTGAAACCAGCTTTCATCACCTGTCACAATACAGAGCAAAAAAATCATCGCCTTCGTGTCGATATCTCTGCAGCAGTTCTGAGGTGATGGCTTTTCACTGACCTTTGTGGTCTTCGGTCAATAACCGCAGGACCCAACGAGCACAGACTTTCCTATAGCCCAAGCTTTCAATCATCTCCTGTACTGCACTGTGCCCTATTCCAAAGTTTTTGGGCTATTGTGTCCACAGTCACATGCCTGTCATCTTGAATGATCTCATCCACTCTTTTCTCGTTGCATTCAGTTGAGGCTGTTTGAGGACGACCACTTCGATGCTGGTGTTCCCATCTTTAAAATGTTCCACCCATCTTCAAACACTGCTCGCACCCATGCACACTTCCATAAGCACACTGAAGTCTGTGGTGAATTTCTGCAGCAGGGATTTCCTCTTTCACAAAAAATTCGATAACAGCAAGCTGGCGAAACAACATAGCGCTGTCGGCCATTTTGTTAGGATACTCGTCACATGATGCAAGCTACTGACATCACAAGACTCTCAGGGTTAACACAACAGCTGGCTCCACCTACCACCGTACTCTTTCATCTGCTGTTCCCAGGTTGCATGCAAAAAAAAAGTTGCTCATGACTTTCGGTACGACCTACGTACATACATTCTTATGTATTATATTTATAATAAATTTACACCTACATGGTATGTGAAAGCAAATGATTTGGATTATATAAATTATGGATTACTTAGCAACACTGTCAGTAGCTCAGACTGTATAGTGTTGACTGGCAGGATGACTGATGAATGATGAACTGGAAAGAATGTGCAGGGAAGAGTTCATAGCTTAATAGCCTGATATTTGCCTAAAGGCACTGAGGAGACTCACAAAAAAAAAACTCAGTCAAGATATACAATTTCTTTATTAAAACCGTCACAACACAACTGCATTAAGGTCAGTGCAAAGTTTGGCTCTGCTACATGTTTCGGCTATTAAAAGCCATCACCAGGCAAATATATGGCTAACATATATACACCACTGGAACTGCAGCACTAGTAAAATTGGATACAATAATATTAATTATATTAAAATACTTGGCATAAAAACACAATAAATTAGACTATATAAAACAAAAGTTATAGTATAAAACAAGAATAAAATTCTTCGACTGATGCTTTCCATCATCGAGTGAGTCATTGGTTTTTGTGATTTTATTGTGTTCCCACGCACAAATTGGAGTATTCTATATTTTGTGTATATATTGTCACGTGTTGGGTATGTCACGCAACAAATAACTTCACATGGGTCTCAGAACTAGCAAATCTTTATTGGACACTCACACTTACACACCTTACACTTATTATCGCTTGCAGTATCACTTGACTTCTGGCCCAGTACTCCAATGCGACGTCTCAACTATCCTTGGCCGTGGTTGGATCTTGGCATTTACAGTCTTGTTTTTGTGGGGTGCCCTCTCTAACGAGAGGACGGGTCTGCCTTTTGTATATGCTGCTGGTCCTTGCCAGTGCAGTCTTTCTTGGGTCCAAGTCTCTTGGGACTCGCGACCATATTTTACTGTTTCAGAATTGAGACTTCCCTTTTCGTCGCCTCCTATGACTCGCAGGGTCATGGTGGAGGTATTCGACCACGCCTCCACACAGGTCTGCTTATATAGGGGTTATGCGGACTGGATACTGGACACCACTCCTCACGGTTCTGTTACCGCTGTTCAGATAGTCCGTTGTTATGGGAACGCTTCTTATAGATTACACCGGTAACGCGTTTCGTTTCACCCATTGTTACTGAACGACAATTCGTTGCTATGATTTGTCTCTGCAAGAACTCCACAATTTCCACATATTCGTTGTTGTGGAAGAGTCTGTTCTGATTGTAGTGGTTGTCACGGTGATGGACGTAAGGTAACGCGTCACAATATAATAAACTGTTTAGAAGGCTCGTGATGTAGATGTAGTAATATTAATGTTAATTATTAAGTCGGTGCCTCATCTTACAAAGTACTGTCCATTCTGTAGGGAATGTAAACAACGACTGACCTAAATATACTTGTTTTGTGACGGTTTTAATAAAGAAATTGTGTATTATAACACAACAGGAGGCATGAAATGAAAATCAGTCAAGGTAGTTGGTGTCCCAGTCAAAATTCAAACTGAACACCTCCCAAACAAGTCACAGCCATTACCACCTTGGCCAAATTGCTAGGTAATATTCTGGGTGATGGGCAATTCCATCTGATATTTCTCAGTTCTACAGCTGTAGAGATCACAGATGCTTTGCAATATACCTCACCAGGGTCTAAGATTTCCTTTATTATACAGCTGCGTCTATAGGAAAGGTCACCAAGATCTAGACCTTTCTTTGTTACACAGACACTTCTGTAGGAAAGGTCGCAAAAGTCTAGGATTTTCTGTTACACAGATGCTTCTATAGGAAAGGACACCAAGGTCTAGGATTTTCTCTTGTATACACATGCTTCTATAGGATAAATTTCTCTATATTTCATAGTTATTTTAGATGATTTGTGCCACTTAATTCTGTGACAGTATTCACAGCATATCAGCCTTTTGGTTTCCATTTATTCAATACACTCTTCAATTCAAGCCATATGCCATTGTATTGGCTTCATTTAATGCATTGCCCCCTTCAAGTTCACCTTAAAATGTTTTCATATACGATACTACCTTGCCTTGTGAGCTCCTCAAAGATTTAGTTTCCATATCTTGTACTTTGCTAATCTTTTTTATTTAATGTAAGTTTTGAGGTTTTCATGGCGATGACTATGAAGAAAGTCGTCTTCTGGGATCTGACACCGTGTATTCTTTGTTTCAGCCGACGTTTCGGAGGAACGTATCGCCTCCATCTTCAGGGCAGGTGAATTGCGTTGCTACTGCTCTCTGTATTCACAATGCAATTCACTTGCCCTGAAGACGAAGGTGATACGTTCCTCCGAAACGTCGGCTGAAACAAAGAATGCACGGCACCAGATCCCAGACGACGACTTTCTTTTTTATTTAATGTTTATGCTTCATATTCTAAGAGGGGTCACACATTATATCATAGGCGATCATCTCAGAGATTCTCACAAATCAATGAACTGCTAAAGAAGAAAGTCTGACATTCATTCTGCCATGCCATGGATATTCAAACTGCTGAGAGAATCGACAAGACTGCAGCTTAACAAATTACAAATAAAACTCATCCACATTACAGCAGATGTTGAAAATGATCTCTACTGTTATGCATGCGTTCCAGCCACATCTATGAAATGTTAACTTTCATGTGCTTAAGTTCTTTTTTGGAAATGGAGTAAATTTCAATACTCGTAACTTGAAATCCCAGTCTCCTATGCAACTGCTTCCGCTCCCCAAATATTGAAGAAACTGGTGCAGCAGTAGCAGCAACAATAAAATCAACAAAAGAAACCATTTCCATCATCTGGTGTAATCTGGGTTTTATTTGTATGAAGGAGATTCAAGAAGTACATACAATTAATGCACAGAATTCTAAGAACAGCATTCCTTGGTCAACATGGTTTCAACCTTAAGTCGGAGTTTCTCTTTCTTCTACCGAACCTCATCTGATATGATTATCATCTCAGATGCCAATTTTTTAGATATGAAAGAGGGCCCACATCTGACTTCAGGAGCAACTAAAAACATTCCTCCCAGAAGGCATACAAAAGCTGATGGACCAATGTAATGAGTGTTCAAAGAAACTGGGGCTTATGTCAAAAACTGTTGCTAACTGTATGTCTACTTTCTGCAGATTTAACAAAACAATATAAAATGCCCTCCATTTATTTATTTAATCACCCTTTTAATATGTTGGGAATCAGGATAACTCAGTTGGTATATTGATGAGCTACAGGCTGGATGGCCAGTGTTTGATTCCTGGTGGGGGCAAGATAATTTTCTCCAGTCCACAGCATCCACACTGCCTCTGAGGCCAACCCAGCCTCCTACCCAATGCAGGAGCTCTTTCCCCATGGGTAAAGCAGTCAGAGCATGAAGCTGACCACTCATTTCCATCTAGTGCCAAGGTCAAGAATGATGGAGCTATACCTCCACTTGCCTGTATGTCTTCATGGCACAGTGCTTAATTAATTGAACACGGTCAATTTTACCTTTACCTCGTAATGTTACGTTTTATGCTTATCAATTCCACTAGCAGTCTGAATCTCTGTGGCCCAACTAGACAAGAGTGTCACACTCTCCCAACTGAGTGACCCAAAAATTTGCTGGAAGCTCTATGATCATTGCATTGTATTCTTTTCATAAAAGCAAGACATCATGACAATCATGATGAAAATAAACTTTATTTACAGCATATGTTGTATGTGAAATGCATGCATATCTTTCAGTAGGCATCTCTCTTCAAATAAGGTTTCCTTTATTAAGACGAGATCGTAATAACAATGAACTTTACCTGAACCGAATGTAACCCTCCGGCACTGGTTCATCCTTGAGTATCCTCATGCTACTCTGTACTCGAGCCTTTTTGGCCTCAGGACTCATATCCATGTGAGGGTGATGTGAAGGATGTGGTGACATGGCTCGCTTGTTTAGACCAGCAAGATGTTGTTCAGGGCTTGGTGTCTGACCAGCTTGTTCTGCACTGGCTGCTGCTGCATTTAGTAGAGCATGGTGGTCTAGTAGACCATTACTCTGGAGGGCTACTGGATGAGGATGAGCTGGATGAAGGCCAGGAGGAGCAGCAAACATCAAGCCTGTTCACAATAAGCCTCGCTTACTCATCAACCTCACCATAAGCTTCTAGCTCCTTCTTTCAAATGAGCTCCAGTATCTTTAGAGATAAAAATGTCTAACAAAATACATTAGTTTTCATACTGTGGTCTTTGGTTTTGACGCCATCATCCAGTAACCAGGTATCACATTTCAGACGAACATACTGCCACAGGGTGAAGATGGAGGCAGCATGTTCTTTCAAAATGTTAGCACCCACTGACCACACTACATGGCGTGATGACTAAAGATGATAAGGCAAATCTTCACTGCCAAGAAAACCTTAAATCCTATATTAATATCACCCAAATTCAGAGAACTGGTACTACTGCTAGTCGGTGATTTGTGTAAATATTACTCTTAATAATATTCCTTTATGTCAGTTTTTGATTAATTTCAGGAAACAGCTCTCACATAAAACATTAGTTTGAAAATTAATAACATAATTTGAATCATGCACAACAATAAAATAAATTCTCTTCGAAAGACTTCTCACTGTCTGATGCATTCCAGATATGAACTTTTAAAAACCACCTACAATTTCCATCGTCTCTGCTGCTCTGGTCACATGTAATGGTGAAAATGCATTAAAATTTTCAGAAGCATTTTGATTTTGGTTCAGGTCAGATCAGTGTTGGGGCCAATTTATTTAAGGGCTCCCTGACAGATTTTGATAAAACTCAAATACAGCACACATTATACAATTATTACTACAACATCAATTTATTTTGGACTTCAAGAACCACTCTGATAGGGCCTAAACAAACCCTTTTGTGTATCTTTTGACTTTAAAAATTTTAACAGAAACTGAGCTTCTGAACAGATTATGGCACAACTTTATATATGGATCTTTTATTATTCAATCATCACAATATGCATCACTGATAAGTATCTAACAAACTACATCCTACAACATCCCAAAAGACAGTAATCTTTCTGTAGGTCCAAATAGGAGACTTCATGCAAAGTGATAGTTCAAAAAAAAACATACAGTTTCAGCATTACATATGACATCTCATGAACTCCACTGAGTCTCAGTGATGTTTTACCATATGTATGGGCAACTTGTTCTGTTTGTTTCGTATATCTTATATTTGTATTCCTTCCACTTCTTCTATACTTGCCAGCAGGTGAAGAGTAAATTGCAGGAATGCCTGGCTGGATGAATGGGATGCCTTGTGACGTTATGAGAGCAAACTGCTGTCCTGCAGCTGCTGCTGCCACCATTGCAGCATTGAAACTAGCTGCTGCAGCTGCAGATGACGATGGAGAGGAGTGTGGTGGGAAAACTGAAGGATGGAGTCCTCCTCCTCCAAGTGGAGGCAACCCACTGCCAGGACCCTGTAGGGTCTCAGAGTTTGGATTTTGTTGTTCATACGGAGGGGGACCTCCTGAAACACATACATAATCATACTGAAACATAGTTCCCTTTCACTGTTACTGAAAAACGTCAGATGACTGTGCACAGACTCTTTCCATCTGTGTGGATGCATCTGTATACTCGCAACCCTAAGTGTATAAATGCAATTATTTTCTACTTGAAATTCATAAATTTCATTAAAGACATATACTATTCCCAAAACATTTTTGGCAGTGAAATTTCTGGAACGAAAAAGCAGCATTGCAGGACTCTATATAAGAGGCTGAGCAGTTCCACATGCAACACAAGGATGTTCCAAAATTTTGATTCATTCAAAATATTACTACAATATATCCTATTACTTCTGGTAGGAAGATATTTAAAATAGATTAATTACTTTCCTTCAACTGTCTTATGTTGATATATCAATCATATTACCATTCACATAACCTAACTTTTACTACCTTAAAGGAATACTTTTTACACAAAGGTGCTCATGTGTGCATGCACCTCTTTCAGCCAGCACACACATCAGCAAACAACTGATACATATCAACATATCTGTCCAAGGTCACACAAATACTTTTGCATTTATGTTTGGTCCTTGAGGCTAAAACGAATCATGAGGGTACTGGCAACAATGTTTTAGAAGACAAAGAAGAAAAGTGATCATTCATTTCCAGTCCATTACAAGGTCTTGACAGGACACTGAATATACACCTTTCATTACTGCAGGACACGAGTAACTGTAATAAATTCATAGTTAATGAAATCTGTTCATTGCTAAATAAAATAAAGTAAAATATTCTTCTAACCTGCACCATTATTGATGGAATCATTGCTTTCTTCATTGTTATTGTCTTCTGGTTCCCTCTTAACAACTGGGGGACTAAGGGCACCACTGCTATGTTTTGCAATGTGAGGCCGAAGACGATCCAATTCTGAGAAAGCCTGCACCAATTTAAAATAAGTAGAATATTACTTACATGTTAATAAGCGGGCAGATCGATATAAATCATGGTGGAACTGGTGTGTACTATTCACAGTTCACAGACTAAATGCATGAAGAATATCCAAGACAAGTAGACATTTTTGTGTAGAAGCAGCCACAAATTAATTGATTTGGCAGTAGCACATTCATTAGTAGGCCTACCTGACATACAAGTATGCCAATTAAACTATAATACTCACAGACTGTACTTTCTAATCAATAATAAAATGCCTATTAGATTTGTAAAATCCTTTTCCATACTATTGTGAACCTGAAATTTCTGTTTGATAACAGCCAGTCTTTGAACTGAGATTCAGACCCAGCACCTTCCACACATGAGATAAGAATGCTGACCACTTATGCTGTGACATTAAGGCGGCAGGTGTTGATTCAAAAGTCACTCCTCAGGAGTCCTCATTTGTGTGATGTTTCATCTTTATTAGTTGTACACACAGATTATGGTCTTAAATACAAACAATTATATGTATTCAGTATCATCTCACTACAGGCTAGAGATCATAAGCTTGTTTAGCATGTTGGTATTACTCATTTTAACTATGGTTTGGACAATAATCAAAGAAGACATTCTGTTTCTCATTTCGTTTGTCATTTACGAACCAAATAAATCACTGAAAGCTATATTCAGCCAGTAGGCAAATAGCTAGCCAGTCCTTATGATGAGACACTGGAAATTGATTCACAATGATAACACTACAACTAATCATCTTTCCCCTCAAGACTGAAAATATTCTTCTCATTATATTTATATTTGTATTTGTTTTCATCCATTCTGCTACATAGTAACACTTGGACAAGTCATTTGGCAATACAAGGTAACTAAACAAATCTACAAAGTTACAAGCATACTACCAACATCTGTTACAATCATAAGCAATATGTAGGTCACAGGTCTGTAATGTACTGTACCTGATTACAAGCATTGCAGTGGTAATGTTCCTTCCTCTTTAGTTTGCAGAATGGACGGCTGCAGGACTGCTCTGGTCCATAGCGATCATGGCGCTCAAGTGACATCCAGTCCGGCCTTGAGACTATGTCATGTTGCTGAGACTGCTGCTGCAGGAGACGAGACAGTGACTGCTGAGACCCTCCTTCTGAACCTGTAGGTTCACCCTTGACACCTGATGATAACAGAATTTTATTACTAAACCAATCTTGCAAACCTTCAAATAGGTACTGAAATATGAAGGCTGACATTTACTTCCAGATTATAACAATGTTATTGTGCAGTTTCACATATCTTACTTAACCGAGAAGATTACAGAAGTAAGAAAAACTCTGTATTACAAGCGCAGAAGTGGCCAGTCTTAGCTCAGCATTTCCAAAACATTTTGTCTGAAAATTCCTTTCAGCCTTAAAAGAATGAATGAACCCCACTACAATAAACTACAACTGTGGAAAGACCATAAAGTGAAACAGAGACTTTTACAATATAAAAATCAAATTAAATGAAGAACTTTTGTTCCTTCCTTTACCCAATAATCCATGATGAAGTGATATCAATTTTCATAGTACCACAATTTATACCCAGCAATGAGGATTTTTTTTTTATAATGGATCCAACTCAACAGGTGGCTCACCGCTTTCTCACCAGATGCCCGAAACAGATCCAGATTCTGAAACGCTGTGGTCTACTTGGAATACTAAATGAACTAAATCAAGAAACCCAGTAGTTCTAAGCATAATTTATGGTACTAAAAAATGCGCAAGATACACCTAGCAAAATAGGAAAATAAGGGACACTGTTATAGAACTTATTTGCAATGGTATTCTAATATAATATATAAATGTTTAAATTTCATAATTACCTCATTCTTCATATAAGATTGTAGAGTCAATTCTAGCAAGCAGTGGGTTGTACTGTAAATCTTCATTAACTCGTTTGTGTATATAAGAGATTTTATAGTGTATCTTCTCTGGTTAGTTACAGTTAATATATCACATACTTACAGAGTTTTTAGAGTACAAGCATCTTTCCTGGTACTTGCTTAGGGGTTTAAGAATTATATTCAGATTCATAATTTCAATACAAAATTACTTTTTAGATTGGTAAATGGAAGTAGAAACACAGTGTAAGATGAGAATCACTGATTTATTTCAAGCATTATTCCTCAGAATGATCATGAAAAACGAAATATGTCACAATCTGTACACCTGACCTCTGAAAATAACCTCTAGCATAATAAATGTTAAAAAAAATATTATACCAACTGACGCAAAGTCCAATGGCCGAATTTTAGGGAGATGTTTAGGAAATAAGCTGGAGCCGAAACTATGAACACCATACATACATGACAGCAAATCTACTTGAAGGAATCTTGTCTGTTGATTTCAACGACAGAACACTTCCCTTTATGTTGGAGGAAGTATCCATTAATGTTCATGTGGGCATGTGGTTTTAGGATGATGGTGGCCCTCCTCACTTTACATGCTAAATGCATAATTGGTTGAAGAGCCATCTTTTGAACACACTGACTAGCCGTGGGGGTCCAATCATCTGGCCTCCATATGTTCCTCATCTGAAGTAATTTGAATTTGTCTTATGGGGATTCATCAAACACAATATTCTTGCTGAAGAAGGGATTGCAATGACCCTATCAACTGCATCTTGGTAGTTGCACCAGACATCAGGGACCAATCCAGACAATTTGATTTTGTCAGGAACTACATGATGTTGCTCTGAAGCACACATGCAGGCCAGTAGAAGAAATTCTGAATAGTTCTTGTAAAGATATATATAGAACCTCATATGAGTCCCCACTTTGTGTAAAATACAGTATATAATTAGAAATGAAAGGGGCTAGAAAATTTGGAATCTTTGCTTATTCATTCATTGTAATTAAATGTAAAAAATACTGATGTTAAATGTAAATAACAAAGTCTATACATGAATGGGCAATTATTTTATTTCCCCAAAATGTGGCAAAATATAGTATCTTTATAGGGGTTATAAATCAATCAAAAATTTATGTACATTTTCTTCCCAAACATATCTCCCCAATAAAGTAAACTGTATGAATTTCAACATTTGGATGATAAGGTTGTGAAAGTAAAAAGGAAATGGTATATTTACATGCAAATATCAAATATGACTAACAAATGCCAAAACAGCCCATTTTATTTCACATATTATATTTACTTTTACTGTAAAAATTGTAAGATCGCCTTGCCAAGAAGCCAACCTTAAAAACTTGTCAATACATTTTGCATTAATGACCAAATTAATGAGCAACAATTTTGGAATTACTCATATTACTAATGTCCTCATCCATTGGGTTGGTAGTGATTGGTGGTGATTTACTGACATGTATGTATGTTTAAACCCTGTCCTAATTTAAACAGAAACACAAGGTGAAAAATGCTTGAAGTTAAAAGTATGAGGGGGGGGGCGACTCTGAAAGTAATGCCTACTATTTATTTCCACAGAAACTACAACAGATACAGGATGCACAATAATGCTACAAAACACTATCCTTCCACAGTCACCATGGTTGGCTATGCATTTTCACCAGCAATGAACAAGCGCCTGCATGCTGCGCTCATTAAAATCCACACCAGCAGAGGCAACCCACTTTCTCACAGCTGCGATGATGGCGTCATTATCAGGAAAATGTTACCCATGTAGTCTATCTTCAATGGCATGAACAGATGGAAGTCACAAGGTGCCAAATCTGGACTGGCAGTGGGTGAGGTAGGTCAGTCCAGTTACTCTCTGCAACGTGCCTCATTGTCTTCAAATTGGTATGGGGCCTGGCATTATCATGTTGCAGGAGAAAGGATGCCTTATTCTCTGGCCTGGCTCTGGAAATTTGTGCCTTCAGCTTAGTCAGTGTCATGATGTAGCGGTCAGAGTTGATGGTTTGTTCAGGTTCCAGGAAATCCAGGAAGATCACATCTTTCCTATCCCAAAATACAGTGCACATCACTTTACCTGCTGGTGGCTGCATCTTGAACTTTTTCTTTGATGGGGAATTCGCATGTCACCACTCCATGGACTGTCGTTTTGATTCTGGCTTGAAGTGGTAACACCACATCTCAACACCGGTGATGATGTGATCCAGGAAACTATCACCTTCAGCTTCATAGTGGTTCAGCAGGTCCTGACAGACTTGCATTCAGTGGTCTCTATGTTCCTGAGTGAGCATCCATAGGACCCACCTGGCACAAACTTTGCAATATTCCAAGGTTGCCAACACAGTTTCCAACAAACTGAAGCCGATATTCAACCCTGTACACAGTTTCCTGGTCGTAATCCACTGATTCATGCCGATGAGCTGATTGAGGCACTTTTCATATTGTGGGCTTGACAGCTGGGCAGGGCTGCCCAGAACATGGCCTGTCTTTCACAACACTATCACCACTGCTGAAATGCACCAACCACGACCTGTATTCACATACACAGTTTGGTTTCCATAAATGTTCAGCATCACTGAATGTCAGTGGTTGCAATTTTTTCCAAATCAAGGAATTCAGTAACACACCTGTGCTTTGTATGCAGTTCCAAGTCAGATGCAATTTTACCAGACTGCCCCACTGTTGATATATGTCACACAGCAACAAAACTTACTATTGGCGCGAAGGTTCAACCTTCACTGCCATACCACCAGCATCCATATCTGACATTGTGGGCAAACATAATAAAATAGGATGCATTACTTTTGGTGCACACTTCATATAATTACAGGGATGTCTGGTCTCAATAATTCACACTTTCTGATATTGTTTACTGTAAACTTCACACCCATTTACTTAAGCATAAATATAAGTGTACATTTTCACCTAAATTTATCACAAATATATAATGTGAAACAGTTCCTTTGCTAAAGCTACTTCACTAAAGGGGATGCCTTGAAAAGCATCATACTTGACACTACTAAAGTTGTAATGTTGAAACTTTGATATAAAGAAATTTGTGTAACAGAAATAATGATTTGGTACAGCTTTTGATGAATTTTAACTGACACAGATTAACTTAAAGGTACAATTCTTCTTTCTTATTCTATCACTCAAATACACACCATATGAGCTCCTCACAGCAGTGACTATGAAGACAGAAATAAGGTAAAGGTTGTGTCCCTTTCATACCAAACTCGATTATCAAACAGAGTCCTGTGCATCCATAGTAGATAATCTTCAGGTTTTTCCTTCTCATTAAAATACACCATGGATTTGTACACACAAAGAGAGGAATAATGAAAACAATCTTTCTATATCAGGACAGAACACTACTTAATGTACAACTTATAAGACATAATAGGCAAAACAGTTTTCAAAACAATGGCAATAGAAGATGAGAGCAGAAATCATGCAGCAGTTAATGTGATGAAATGTTAATGCAGTAGTACTGGCTGGGGGGGTAAGGAATGAGCCACCTATCACTGGAGGCAAGCTGGAATGGATGTCATTAGAGTGGGACAAAATGGAACATGATCCTCACGCACCTGTTCCAGAATGCTGTCTGTTCCTGCCTTCTGATGACGTTTCATTGCTTGGCACGGTGATGATGGCACCACAACGAGTTTGAGGAGGGGATGGAGGGGAAGGGGAAGTTCCCCTGGACGATCTGGAAATACCACCCGCCTTCCCCAGTGACGTGGAAGATGTAGAAGAGGATGAAGAAGAGGAGGAACCAGGATTTGAACCCGTACCAGCACCACCACACGAAAACGCAGACAGCGGGTAAAAAGTTCCCGAAGCCTTCACCACTAGAGACAGAAAACCAGAACCATGGTCATACAGACACACATAATGTGCTATGTCAAGATGCTGTGTTTTGAAGTATGAGTGGCTGCAATCATTGGGCATAAATAAGAACCGTTAATGATATGATATAAAATGGAAGGAACTGTTCACTGGAAAGATCCTAATTTCTCTTCCCTAAAAATAAGTAAATAGGAATTACATTCAACTATAATGAGAAGTAATAATTAAAAGAACCGCTGCTCCAGTGTTTGTATATTATGATGTCCAATTGGCTGGGTCAGGCATGTAAATTGTCAGAATATTCAACATTATATGCAGACTGGTAGGGGTTAAAATTATGTATGATACAAATGAAAAATTTGCATTCAAACTCTAAAAACATAAAATATATATCTATAAAATAGAGAAAATTCCAAGGATTTCACAGAACATAAACATTATGTTGCCTTTTAATGGTAAGCTGTTGAGGATTGCATTTCCATGAATACAAATTACAGGCATACTTAAGAATAGTATAAATTTCAATAATGAGTAGATAGTGTCTATGTAACAGTATCAAAGTAACTTTAAACAGAGCACGAATAAGGCTGTGGATGGAGAAAGTAACCAATGGAGTGAATGGTAGGATTAATGAGATATCAATGGACAACTTCATACAGAGGAAATGAAGGAATCAGACAGTAAATAACAAAGAGATATTTAAGGTGAGAGTTATATTTTCACCAGATGCCTGCAATGTCAATAGTATTTGTGTGACCACACACATAAAATTAGTATTTTTTAAAGATTTTTAGCTTTTGGAATGCGGTGCAGCTACAATTTTACAGCAGTGGTGTGGTCCATGTGTGTGGTGAGAGACAATGCCAAGAAAAACCAGTGATTTGTGGTGGACAAAATGACACTGGGGTCACATTTTTCTTAGTATTTCCGTTTCCCCTACCAATCATCATTCCACCAATTTCTTCATTCCTTCATATCCATTTATCATCCTACCACTGATGCTACACTGTCTCCATACTAACCACATCATTAAATAGCAAAAGATGATAATGAAGCAAAGACACAGGCACTTTACTTTGTATTGAAATTTCTTGAAAATCACACCTTCAGAAACTTTGTTCTGCAAATCCCCCTACAAAGCATTCCTTCTTGGATTTCCAGCATTGTCTCAAATATGTGAATAACTTTCCAATAATAAGGGTTCTGTCTCAAATGAGGCTAGTTTACAGCTGAACCTCAAATTTAGTTGAGTACAGTGATGAGCAAGACAACTGTGATGAAAACAGCTTCCCTAACTTCAGTAAGTCTCATTAAACATAAATTTTGAAGATAAATGACGAGATTTCATTTTGAAGTCAGCATCCCCCTCCACCTCTATTTAACAGAAGAGCACTGGAATTCCTTGCCTGTCAATTCTCTAAAATCTGCATCACTGTGCCTGTAATACACGTAACACTCATACTCTGTAGGATGTAATGTGTCATGGTATCAAATCTGTCAAAGTTGCTTCTTTTATCTATTTTCCCATTCATTCAGAACTCAACACAGACCTGCACACTGAGGGATACAGCAGGTGCCTCATTTAGCAAGTGCATCTCAAAGCTCTGTATGACATCTACATTACATACAGTAAGTGTAATGTCACAATATAAGAATCCTAACACTATTTACATATATAATTTTTAAAGCATAAGCTATTTATCTCACTAACCCATGACTCCTTTGCCATGTTAACTGTCTTACCTGTGGTTTTGTTTGCTGATGCTTCTGGTGACGGAGCACGGATCTGTGGTGTCCTCAAGAGGACTGGGGACCCAGCACTGGGTGACAGAGATGAACCCTCAGCACCAGACACTTCAGATTTGATGTGTACTGGAGATTCTGTCAGAAATAAGGGACATTGCAGGAGTTAAATGTATACATCTATACTTTTTAACATTCCTATGTACATCCTTCACAGACTGTACTTCCATCCACAATGCAACTCTTTTATTTCCTCCTCATTTTCACTTTCACAACATATTTTGGCTCTATATGGCCATCATCAGGTGTTCTATTTGCAAAAACTGTTTCACTGGCAAAATAACACCTAATTATGGCCATATACAGCTGAATCATATCGTGAAGGTGAAGAGGAGGAGGAGGAAATAAATAAGTTGCATTGTGGATGGAGGTATAGTGAGTGAAGAATATATTAATCCAACAAAATGCCTAAATACAATATTCCTATGTACATGTTAAGGCTGTGGCAACAACTTCAACTTCAGATTGTATGCCATACTGGGTCTTCACAACAAAATTTAAGTCCAGAATATTACTTAATGACCATAATGGCCAATCAGAACTAGCCCGAGATCAAAATTAATGTTTAAGAGGACTTGATTCAACATTCACTAATTAATAATATGTACCCACTTTCTGAAAATGTATGTTCAAATCTATAATAAGTTTTAATTATGAGACTTCTATATTAAAAACATATTTAGAAGGAAAAAAACACACTTTCTTATGTATGAATGGACAAAAATGAACTGAAAGTTTGCATTTAATGAAGTCATAGAATGTGCATGTCTGAATATCAATAATATCCATAAAATGTAAATCAGTTTTATTCTTGTAAGATTTGAGGCTTTTGAGTTTTATTCTTGTGTACAGAAAGCAAAAACAAATTTTCTAACCTGGCTCCTTCTTAAGACTTTGGCTGCCTGTTGACACTGGTGACTCACAGCTTCTACGATGACTACCAGATGTCTCCGTAGCAGCTTCATTAGCCTCCTCCATACTACCAACATTACCACCATTACGATGTTTCTGTTCATGGATGGCCATGGTTGAATAACGCACAAATGAATATCCACAGCCTGGTCGCACGCAGTGGAAATGCCGATTTATTCTGTTACTGCACCCATTTACATTAGCATTAGATACAAAAAATTTTCATTCCAAGAATCAATTCAAAGAGAAAACAGAGAAGTGTCTCGATACAATTGAGTTTTGATATTGTCACTGTCCAACTGAATCCTCTGCTGTGCCATTTAACTGTATTCTTCCTAATGCTAATATACAATTTAAATGCTTGTTAAGTCCTTATACTTTACTGTGTGAAGCACAGCAACAGCTACTTGAATTCATTAATTACATTATGTTCAATTTGGTAGAGAAAGAATATAGAAAGCAACACTGCCATTGTCAGTTGTGTTCAACAATATCAAGAACTCAATCCTGAAGCTGCAAAACTAATCATTATCCGCAATTTCTCTAACCTTTTTGTTATGTTTGTAAATTCCTGTACATTTCAGTTATTAATGACGTTTACAACCTTAATAAAGTTTGTAAGGCCATTAATTTTCTCCCTCTTTTCAGGACCTTAGTAAGACTTCTTGGTAAGTAGCTACTTGGAAGACTCAGAAAGAGATGGGAGGTGAATGAAACTACATTAAGATCATGTAAATGATGGGCTTTGGTACTGGAAATGTTGGATATTCATGTCCTCAGATATTCAGTATTAGAGGGGGTGGGTTTCCCCATGCACCACGACTAGTAGTCTATTGTACGTCCCTACTGTACATCCCCTTTAATTTCTATTGTCACCATACCCTACCGGTACTGGTGCTCGCTATCAGCCCTTTCTGCCAGTGAGGTCGGCCCTCTTCTGGCAGTGGTACCCGATAACTTCCCCATCTACCGGAGGCACTGGAAACTACTTGGGTGGGAAACTTTTTGCCTAATTTTGCTCAGAGGTCTCCTAGAGACATGTAGATCTTTTACGTGCTGTAAATCTATAACACGGGACCCACGGCTTAAAGTCCCTCCCAGAGGACCTGTTCCCTGAATTTTTCCGCCCTTAAAAATTCCACGACCTCTGCCGGGTTTGAACCCGCATACCTTGAGTCATGAGGTGGGAACGTTACCCCTAGACTACGGAGTCCACTTTGTTCAGGTCTTACTACCAGAGTTATGTAGTTATGATATAAATATTTCTAAGTGATAGGTGAATGTCACTGAGTAACAGTGGGCAAGGATATCTTAAATCAGAACACTGAGAGCTCTAATATTTGTCACAATGAAGAAAATTTGTGCTTCTGAATTGCATTTGGAAGCTGCAGTCCTGGCTAGGGCAGAGACTATCCTGAAATTTATGGTTTCCCTCAGTTCCTCCAGGAAAATGCTGGGACAGTATGTTACTTTAGCCCACAGACACATATTTCCCATTCTTTGCGATTTATTATTCACTGTCATCCCAACATTCAATTTTTCTTAACCTGAGTCACTTATAAATGTCATTATGTTGTAAACAAATACACAAATATTACTCACCTATGGCAGGATGGGAGACGACAATCAACTGTCCGGTCAAAGAAAAGGAACCCATCCATGATATCAATGTTGTCATGGAAATCTTTGGAGTGCATGATGAGTATATCCTCACGGTTAGTGACATAGAAACACCGTGGCTGACTACAGTGGAAGTGCTGACACCTGGAGTTGTACGGGCACAGTGCATCTGGACAAGGTGTCCCTTCAGGAAATGAGTAGAATCCTTCTTGTAACAGGTCAAGTCGATGCTGTATAGCAAACAAAAGTAATTATAAAACTTCCCTTTCCATCAGCACTTTTATTTATCCTCAACTATGCAATATTCCTGTGGTCTATCAGAAAATGAATTGGTAACAAAACATACTGTGACATGTAAACCCACTGCTAGGCAACGGCTTGTTGAAACATGTTTCTGGAATGACCAGCTGGAACAGTCAGTCACTGAGCAAAGCTGGATAAACACAACAAGTGGGTTACCATGGTATTACAAGTGTAGTCATGACAACGAATTTGTGACAAAGGAATTTCCATGGATACAAACTAGCCTCTATATATAGTCATGGAGATTCCTAATTGATTTCTTAGACAGTAAAATATGGTCGTGAGTCCCACAGGACAAGGACCCGAGAGTGGCTGTGATGGCAAGGGCCAGCAGCAATTGTAGTAAACTACAGACCCATCCTCTCACCAGAGAGAGAACCGCACATCAACAAACCCACAACTGCCTGACAGTAATAAAAATCTCTTCATAGCCCCAGATGGTTGCTTAATTCCAAGACTGACCGACTGTTGGTCATAACACAAGACTCTGGCTCAGACTACTGATTAATTCAGTTGAAGATAACTGAGAAGGCAGCTCAATAGTTGAAGTTTTGACAAATGCTGAAGACTTATTTTATTTGTTATGGTTATAGTAAGGGGTCCTGCAGTAACATAGTTAGTTGAGGCACTACTACTTTTCTACTGCAAACTTTCGGTCCTACAAATCTTTTGCTGTTAATTTATATATGGCAAATTTATAACAAAAAAGACACAGCATTTAGTTCAGCTCATTGGCTAATATTTGTAACTCCTGCAACTGTAAACATATTACAAATTATCATGCAGTAGTAGTAGTAGTAGTAGTAGTAGTAGTAGTAGTAGTAGTAGTAGCAGCAGCAGCAGCAGCAGCAGCAGCAGCTGCAGTGGTGGCAGTGTTAGTAGTAGTAAGTAGTAGTCATGGTGGTGGTGGTAGTAGTAGCTGCAGCAGCATGTTGTTGTTGTTGTTGTTGTTGTTGTTGTTGTTGTTGTTGTTGTGGTTGTTGTTGTTGTTGTTGTTGTTGATGATGATGATACTGTTATCCCTGCTTACCTTACCTCCTTAAAAGTTTACATAAAATGGATACACATTATAACAGTAAGACTTAATCAAATATTCCAGTCTATTACAATTATTAGAAGATGCGCATAAAACATCCATTGCCAGCACTGCCACCAACATTGCCCTCATTATCGTCACCATCATTATTGCAAATAATTTACTACTTAAGCATATTTTATTGTTTTAAGTTTGAGTGAGCTATCTTCAAAACAGATTTAATGCAGCCATTATGTTATTTTCCGTTCCACATAAATAATGAGAGCTGCATATTTTTTCCATCATCCATCACCACACGCCATTTCAGGCCCTAAAATTAAGTGGTACCAATACTGATCCCACCTCACTAGTTCATGTCTCCACCATGCTGTTATTGCCAATGGAAGCAAATTATAAAATTTTAGGTTCAGGTGCCTCTAATATCATAACATCAGTAGCAGATTTTGAAATAAGTTGATCACCTGGTTGAGAAGTTAAAATAATGAACAGAATACTGATCGTACATGTCTACTGAAGAAAGACAAGTAGGCCACTCCTCTCCTACCCTCATTCTGAAAGATCTCAGGATACTTGGTACACTTGAGGTATTAACTATGTAATTTTGAAATATAAATCAGTTTAGTTGTTACAAAGTTAACTTGCTCAACTATAACGCTACACTTACCCTAAAAATAGCATAACTACTGGCCAAAAAAAACAAACATACTGTGACATGTTGGCCCCTACCTCCCCAGCTGCGCGTAGCGGTAACATAGCGCTCGCGTAATAGGCGAGTAATCACCCCGCATCCTGGTAGCTATGCAACGCGCAACGCGCGGTGACGTCACGAGCGGAGCCGAAGTGAGCAAAGCGGAGCCGACGTTAGCCGAGTCCCCGCAACCTTGAAGCTATGCAAAGCGAATCAACAGCGGTGANTAAAAAGAGGAAATCATCTTACAGATAGAAACAATGCAAAATCCTTCAGAAAATGAATGAATATATCAATCACAATAAGCAATACTGTCATACTACTAGCAGATGTAGCCAGTCGACTGTATATGTTAACAGGAACTTGTGTGAAAAACTAATCACTTATTTTCCATTGATATGACACAGACTATATAAAAAAGAAAAAAAAAAACAAAAAGGGGGGGGGG